CAGGTTGGATGAGGCCCTGAGCAACCTGATCTAGTTGGAGATATCCCTGTTCCTTGCAGGGGGGTTGGACTAGATGACCTTTGAAGGTCCCTTCCAGCCCTAACGATTCTATGATTCTATCACTCCTGAGCTTGGAGGAGGTGATCCTTGAATATTATCCAGCTTTCCTGGGCCCCTCTTTCCTCTAAGGTTTTATCCAAAGGTACTCTACCAAGCAGATCCTGAGGAGACTGAAGTCTGCTCTCCTGAAATACAGGGTAGTGAGCTTGCTGAGCACCCTCCTTGCCTCCCTAAGAATCTTGAACTCCACCATTTCATGGTGACTACAGCCAAGGCTGCCCTCAAGTGTCACGTTCCCCACCAGCCCCAACTTGTTGGTGAGAACAAGGTCCAGCAAAGCACCTCTCCTCATTGGTTCCTCTGTCACTTGGAGGAGGAAGTTATCATCAATGCATCTGCCCTACTGTGTTGTCCCTCCAACAGATATTGGGGTGGTTGAAGTCTCCATGAGGACAAGGGCTCATGAATGTGAGGCTGTTCCTGTCTGTCTATAGAGGGCCTCATCCACTTGGTTGTCCTGGTCAGGTGGCCTGTAGCAGACCCCACTACAATGTCCCCTGTCCCTGCCCTCCCTTTAATCCTGACCCATAAGCTCTCAGTCATCTCCTCATCCATCCCCAGATGCAGCTCCATGCACTCCAGCTGGTCTTTGACATAGAGAGCAGCACCTCCTCCTTGTCTCTCCTGCCTGTGCTTCCTAAAGAGCCTGTATCCTTCCATTCTGACACTCCAGTCATAGGATTCATCCCACCACGTCTCCGTGATGCCAATAAGATCACAGCCCTGTAGGCATGCACTCATCTCCAACTCCTCTTGTTTATTCCCCATGCTACGTGCGTTTGCATAGAGGTGTTTAAGTTGGGCCCCCAATGAATCTGATTTCCTGGCTGGAGTGGCTGGAATTCCTTTCTGCTGCTCTTCAGGTGCTTTCAGCTTGTCACAGACAAGCCTGATATTATCCCCCTACCCCTTCAAGTCTAGTTTAAAGCCCTGCCAGTGAGCCTCGGTAGCTCTTGAGCAAAGACCCTCATCCCCTGTGAGAGAGTGGAATCCAGTCTGGCACCTGCAAGCCTGGTGCCCTGTAGGCCATCCCCGTATCCAAACACTCGAAATTGTGGCGGTGGCACTATGTAAAGAATGTGCCTTTAGAATTGACATCTCCTGAATTTGTACTTTCTGAAAAGATAACTGACTTAGCCTATAGTGTGTCTAGCACTAATGACACAAGAACACCTTTCAAGGGTTGGATTGAAGGCTCATCTGATCATGCATCCTGGTTTGAGAGCGACCTCGTGGGTAATAAGGAAAAGCTATAAAAGCAAAACTAATGTAGAATGATATTTCCTGTACTATGTAATTCCAGAGTTTGGGTTTGTGACTTGTAGAGAATATCAGCAATCTTTGGCCCTTGATAAGGTGTATCTTCCATGATTTCTGTGGCACTGGTCTTTCGTGCTGTGTTGCACACTGAATATAATAAATATGTTAAAGCAACCATTGAAGAATGCCAAGTCAGGCACTCCAGGGTAAGAAATGCCAGAAGCAACAAAACTACACAAACTACTTCATAGCTTTGACTAAATTTAAGGAATCTGTAGGTGTTTATATGGTGTGATAAAGACTTTTTTTGTCTTGGCAAATGAGGAAGATTCTTGTTAAGGGACTAAACAGACATTCTTTCCAGATATCAGAACATTCTCATGGCTCTTTTCTGAAACCTTTTCTTTTGTAGCATCTGTTTTGAAGAGAAGAGCAGAGCTGTGTGTTATTCTGTGCTCTAAATTGGTGAGACTGGTATTGGCAGCATTATTATTATCTCTGTCTTCATGTCTGATTCAAGTCTTGGGTGGAGAAAAGAGATTATTTTCCTTCATCTTTCCAACAGTGCTCTGAGAGCTCAAATTCTTTCGATGAATAATTAGCTGCCTTGAAATGGTGATGGTCAATTTTTGCCATAAAGTGCAAAATCCTCTCAGATTCAGTGGCTTTCCAGGATTTCATTGCTCGCTCAGGCAGTGGCAGTGTATGACATGCACCCACTTTGTGGAAGTATCGTGGAATTTGGCTGGGTTAAATTATATAGACCTTTCTTACAAAGTGCACTTGGTCTATGTAAGTCAGTAATTCCCAACCTTAATTATTATATAAAGGACTCAAATATTTGTGGAATGTTTGGTCAGCAGTGACTTATGTCCTCCTATGCTGTTGGTAAAGATAATAAATTGCCTTAAAACCAGCATATGGGTTGCTTTAGAAATCTTTTATAGAAAGATTCTCTAATCTGGTATTAGTGCATTAAGAACATTTTAGATCTGCTGATTAAAATGATTAAAATCGAGTTAGTGTAGTTTTTATACAGTATCTCTTCCTCACCCACAACCCTAAAGCAGTATTTTTTGGGACAAAGTCCAAATGTCTTACTGTTTCTTTGGTATTTTTACCAAATAGTATAGAACTAGTAAGTTTACTCAGTGTTCTTATGTGGCAGGGACTCTCCTCTTGTATCAGTTTGATTTCCATGTTAAATTTCAAAATCAGAATGTAAGGGCTAAAATCTCACGATGAAAACATTTATTAAACATTTTAAAATTATCTTTTAAAAGTCAGTCCCCAAACCCATCATATATATAGCATTGGAGGGGAGGGGCATCTGAGAGCATTTTGTTACGATTTTTCAAATTCATCAAATGAAAGCAGAGAGCTGTAATAAAAGCTGTCAGACTGTTTTAACTGCACATTTTGTTGCTGCTTGCATTGCTTACTGTGCTGTGACAGATAGTGTTTATAGTTTTCAAACAGTTCTGCAGTACTGTTTTTGCCAAGTGATAGCTGTTCATACATGGAAAACTGTGGGCTTTCTATATTCTATCTGAAATGATTTTTGTCAGTTAATGGTATGATTCTTGTTTGATGTTCCTGAGAACATCCTTCTGCGCTCTCTGGTCTCCAACTTAAAAGCTCTCTTAAGCCAAGGAATCTTCACTCTTATGTGTATGTTATGCTTAAATAGCACTTATGTCCCCTTTTTTATCTGCAAAGACTGAGCTGGTATTTTCTTCTGTCATTGCTAAGCTTTTATTGCAAAGATATGTGACCTACCCTGGCACAGTCTTGTTGTCTGGGGTCTCTGACCCAAAGACAAAATCAGTAACGTCTCCCACCCTTCTGCTGACAGCTTATACCTTTTGTATAATGTCCTTTCCTTGATGGTTCTCTGATGGAGAAGAGTGAATGCAACTGGAGTAAAGACCAACAGGAGAATGTATGATGGAGTAACAGAAAGTAGAGATTTATGGAATGACAACAGACTGAGTGGAAACACTTAACTTTCTTTATAGCAAATAGATAGAAAGGACAAACCAAATATGCTTAAGATGGATGAAAAGTTCTACCAGCATAGGGGAAAAAAAGATGAATATGAGTGGAGTAGGGCCTAAATCAAAGGCTTGTTAGGGTAGTAAATAATTTGATATAAAATGACACTTGAAAAACAATACAATAAGTATTTTCTGTTCCATATGCATGGAATACTCCTAGTCATAGCAGTTTATGCATAGGCTTACACTCTGCTGCTGCCTAGGGGCTTCCCTATGAATAGCTCTTGTCAGTTTAGAGCTGCTCTACATCTGCTCTACATAGTAACTTACCACTGTCTTATTTTTTTTGTCTCACACATTGCTCTCATCAGTTGGTTGGGAGTTGAATTCTAGCCAATTTTGGCATATTTCTGAAATTTAGTTGGATTGTTTTTTGTATAATGGAGGGCTTTATGCAATATTTTCCCATCAATCTGTACTCTTAAGAACTATTTGTAAGTGGAGAAACAATATATATGTTATGATGGATATGGACTTAGATTATGCAGCCAAGCTAACTCATCATTACTACTTCTTCAGGACTTAAACCCATTGTCTTCTTTGTTTACTAATGCTGTTGGGTACTTTTTCCTTCATGAGCGTCCTCAAGTCCCTGAATTTGCCAGGAGTAGGAACTGACATTTTCTTACACGAAAAATTAAATAGAAGAATTTTTATTTTTTTGCCAACCGTATCTATTAAGTAATTATCAACTCAACTACATTTGATACAGCTGTTAATTGCATTGAAGAGTGAACACTAGATATATTCTTACGGGCTCAATCTGACTGTATCTTTTCTTTTGCACCTAAAAACTGTGTCTATAAATGAAAACTCCTATTTTTATGATTTTCTTTCAGTGATGCCTCTGTGATCTGTTAGAAGAGTAACCTTTATTAAACATGCAAGTAGGAGTTGTTTGGGATCAAGACGTTGATCCTTTCCTAGCCTTTACCTTCTTTCACCTGCAGGATGTGCAAAGGAGAATCAGTTGTTACCACGTGTTAAGACTTGACTATTGGTAAAGGATGATTGCAGGTGGCTGGATCTTCTAGTATTGTCAGCTTTGATCAAATGCCGTTTGATTACTACAGAAATATTTCTCATCTAGGGAAGAAAAGATCCACTGATCTGAATCTGTCTTAATCACAGACGTTTAGGGCTCTAGGTGTAGTTTTGAAGTCAGCTCAAGTGGAGATACACGCAAGTCACTTAACTGGTTTGCCTTTTCTTTTCCATTCATAAAGTGAGGGTTTTTGTCTGCTCTTTGGGCTGCTTATAAGGAAAGAAATGTAAATTCTGATTGGTTATTGAAAACATCAACAAAAATTTGTATCTTTTCCATGTTTGCTTGAGGTCTATCTCTTGTGTTTTTTCCCCTATCAGATACAAAGAAGGTGGTGAAGCTTTGTTAGTATTGCTTCCCTCAGAAGAAAAAGGCATGGTGGAACAGCTGACACAGAGGAAAGTACCTGTCAGTGAAATCAAGTAAGTGACTAATGGCTTTTCTGTTATTCAGCCTTCTTTCTACAGGAATAATGAGTGATGAGTCTGTGACAGTTCTGATGGAGTAAAGTGCTTGAATTGCCTGGAGCTGGACAAACAAGGGAGATAATTTCATTTTGATAGTGTTGTAGAAGGAAAAGACCTTGAGAGGTTACCTATTCCATCCCCTTTCCCAAAGGCAGGATCAGCTATACAAATCATTCTTACCAGATGCTTGCCTAACTTGCCAATGAATATCTTCACACTTTCCCAAAGTGGTCTCATCTATACTCAATAGTTCCTGCCATTAATGTTTTTTCTTCTGGTGTCTGGTAAGCCTTGTAAGTAATTTAAGTGAAATATTTCTTTTGTCCTGTGCCAAGAATATATGGAAAATTATGTATTCTCTTACTCTTTGCAACTACTTGTTATGTAATTGATCATTATCATGTTCTCTCTTTATCTTCTTTTCTTTTCAGATTAAACAATTACAATTTCCTTAACTTGTGCTTTTATCTTTTTACAACTTTTATCATTCTTGTTTCTCTTACCTGTCTTTTCTTTAGTTCTGGACTATTTCTCCAGTTTGTCATGATCTTTCTGAATGAGTTAGTTGAACAGGAAATAAAAGATGTGGCTAAATGGTCATTTTACATACTAGAGAGAGTATTCCAATGGAGATCTGTAGAGAGCTATGCTGTCTGTACAAAAGAGAACTGACTTTGAAAGAGTTGCGGAAGCATGTCATGATACCATGTAAAAATAAAAAAGCACTTATATTTCCAATTTCTGTTAAATGTAGGGTAATGAATATGTAGGAAAGACAAAAACCCTAACTGTAGAAGTTATAGGAAAAAACCTCACCACTAAAAAGAATCCATGGTAATTTCGTAATTAGCAGCTGTAGGAAGGAGTTCGTTGTTCTTTGAGCCTGTCAGTCTTGTGCTAAATCAAAAGAGTAAACAGAATGTGAAGGACATAGGGAACAAGAATTGAAAGCAAACCAAAAAATACGCTATGAGCCTGACTCTGTTTTGAATACTTACATAGTTTGGGTTACACCATGCCGAAAATTGTTGCGTGGAGCTAGACAAAGTCCAGAGAAGGATGACAAGGTATAAAGTTTCTGTAAAAGTGGGTATGAGCAAGGCTAGGACTCTTTCTTTGAAAAGCTGTTTTGAGAGTGAAGATCTGCATATCTAAGCAAAGAAAATAATTAACTGCATGCAGAAAGTGTTTGTGGAATAATTGTTTTTGAGAAGAAATCTAAATCGGGTAAAAGTTTAAGTGCTTATTATTATCTCATTGATTAAACCTTTAGGTCTGCTCAAAATTAACTATACTGTATTCCTTGAATTTTAGTGTAACAAAGGATGGTAAGAAATTGCCACTACTTACACTTTTACCTAGTTTTTGTTACACTTTCCATATACATTTATGTCAAAACTTGAATTAAGGAATAAAATTGACCACATGCTTTGGGACTTGTCATTATTAAAATCTACTAAATGAGAATCTTTTTAACTTCATTAGCTTTTTCTATTGTAAATTCAGTAATATTTAAATATTATCGTAAGTCAGGATAGCCTGATCAATTGCAGTTTGATGTGATGGTGCGTTCTAACAAAGTTCTTTCTTTGTTTTTGCAAATGAAAAGGAAGGCTTGTGTGATCAGCTATAGTGAAGGGGAAAAAAGTAAGAGCTTGGAATGATAACTGCAAAATACTGTCAGTTCCTACTGAATCTGACTCTTTTATGAGTGCTCCAGTGTTCAGCTTCACTGGGCTGATTTTTCTTTTTGGTTTCCCTGAGGATTGCCATTTTTGATACCACAGCTGGGTGTCATCACTCCAGACATGCCACACCTGGACGCAAGTTGTCACTTCTGCAGAGAATAGAGACATGCATATAGCACTTCTGAGATTTAAGGTTTAGTTTTATTTTTTTAAAGTCTTTTTGATGTGTGGGATATGCCATTTCAGAGGCACTTGGGAATGCTGTCCCTGTGTAACAAAACCACCTTTTCTGGTCAAACTTGGGTATCAATTCTGTGTAGCACATGTGTGAACTTTAAACATTAGATAATTTTTGCTAAAACAGTGAAAATGAAGACTAGAACGGAGTCAACTTCCAAAAGTCTAATTGTGCTTAAAGCTTTCTTTTGGCATTGCTGTTTAAAGAAAACCACTCAGCAAAACCGAAAAAAAACCCAAACAAAAAATTGACAAAATTAGTAAGAAAACTGAATCAAAATCTAATTTTTTCTTTTCCTTTAAGTGCTTTAAAAGTATCTGTTGTACAACCACCACGGCCTAAGCAAATTGTCTCTTTTTCCAAACTTTATTTTTTTATCTTTTTAGGTTAAAATGGTAGTTATTCACATAATTTGTCTGATTCTGATATTCACTAAATAACTATCTGATCTCATAATAATGCATATTATTATAAATATTTCACCTTTATTATATGTATTTCACCTTTCTTTGACAGCTAAGCTTTTAATTTCTTGAGTAATGCAGTTACTTGTTTCAACAACTTACCATAGAATATGGTAAAAAAGCCTCTTCAGCCTCTGTTTATCCGTGTAAATCCAAATAGGTAATTCGTACCAGAATAACAATTCAATTTTAATAAGGCAAATATTTCATTTCACCCCCCCTAATAAATGCATCTTCTATTTATGATCCAAGTCAGATGTGTCTCTGGAGAGAAATCCATGGCTGCATCTCAACATATTTTTGCTAATATGATGTTACATGAATGGAAAACTTGGCATTATATTTTTTTTTAACACCCCTCCAAAATTTCATTATTTTGCCAAGCCATTAGGGTACGTATGTCATAAATACATTTAAGTAGCATTCTTAATGAGAATCATTATAAGCAAAGTCAGGGCTTTTGATTGATAATATATTATAACAGCCTGCCCTGAGATCAAGTTTTTCAACCTGCAAAACATACCTTATTAGTATTTGTAGCATCATAATGAAGAGGAATACTTTTACTTAGCGTTGTCTACCTAGTGTAGTTAAGGCTTAAATGGTTTAGCATTGTACTTCTAAGAGGCTAACTAAAATCCTTAAAAAAAAATAAATCTTATAATTACTTGTGGATTGCAAACCAGTTTCATCCTAAAAGCTTTTAACTACAAATTTTCTTAGGTTGTTTACTTTTAGCCAGTTTCCCAATTAATACAACCCTAGTGTGTTTTGTCAGTTGATAAATTGTGGAAGATGTTCCATCAACCCATGGATCATGTTCCAAGTCTTCTGTTGAAGTCTTCTGGTGGTGTTTGTGCATATTTGCCTCATTATAGATTCACAAGAATTGATTTAACTTTTGAGTTAAAAAGTAATGAGCATTGCTCACTGCCAACAGAGTTTAACCCTTCAAAATTCGTTGTGAAACCTTTTTATTAAAAAATCGCTGTCAATTTATGTGTTTGTTTTGCTGTTCTTGTTCACCTGTTACCTTGCATAGAGATTGCAAGAACCAGTTTTCTGTTACTTTCCTTGTTTTGTATTTTCTGTCCTACAAATAGCTCTTAACGTTTCTTTATTTCATTTAGACAGAGCTTTTAAAACAGTTCCATAATGTGAAAGGAGGAAGGGGAAGAACTTCTGAATACCTATTCAAAAGGCTAGGGTTTGGGTTGATTTCTTATTTTCACTTTTAAATCTAAGCTCTCTTCTGTTACACCATTCCTTTCTAATCAGCACAAGCTGCCAATATAGAGACAGTGCTTTTAACAATACATCTCTCTTTCATTGTTCAAACAGAGCAAGAGAAAATGCAAAGTATGCAATAATAAATACTGTATTTTAGAGCATTCCAATATGGCAAAAAGTGGCTCTGAAATAAGAACTATTATGTTCTTATTTATAAGGAGTCTATAGGATGGGGATCTGAGCAACCTGTTCTATTTGAAGATATCCCTGCTCATTGCAGGGTGGGTTGGACTAGATGACTTTTGGATTAGATGACTTTTAAAGGTTCCTTCCAACCCAAACTGTTCTACGATTTCAAAGTTTTAGATGCAATCTGTAAACTGAAATTTTTTGTAACATCTTGAGACTACTTCATTGCATCTGATTTTGTTGAGTAACAAGGTAAGAGCTGCTTCCTAAGGCGTTGTTATAACAAATTTTGTATCTAGAAAATTTTACCAAAGGAAGTAGGTAAGCAGGTCAAGGGAGATGGTTTTGCTCCTCTACTCTACTCTTATGAGACCCCGCGTGCAGTACTGCATTCAGCTCTGGGATCCCCAACACAAGAAGGACACGGAGCTGTTGGAGCGAGTCCAGAGGAGGGCCGCAAAAATGATCCGAGGGCTGGAGGACCTCTCCTCTGAAAACAGGCTGAGAGAGTTGGAGTTGTTCAGACTGTAGAAGAGAAGGCTCCGGGGTGATCTTCTAGCAGCCTTCCAGTACCTAAAGGGGCCCTACAAGAAAGCTGAAGAGGGGGTTTTTACAAGGGCATCCAAGATTTGTATTCAGTGTAAGAAAAGGAAGAAACAGCTGTGTTAAAACGACAGATACTATCATAAAATCCCCTTGTAGGCTTTGCTTAGTTGGTTCTAGCTCACTGGTTATTAACTGTTTAGGCAAGCCTGTAAGTTACGATAATTCATTTAAGTGTTTAGATCTTAGATTTGTCTCTCCAAATAGTCTGTATATAATTATTGTAAGGAGTTTTATTTGTTCAGAAAGAAAGAACATGGTTTTAATAACTTTAAAACCAAAATCCAGTTTAACAATGATCAGCTTTCTTATTTTTGAAATCCCAGCATGAGACGAAGATGACAGTGGGCGGTTGTCATGATACAGCCTTCGAGAGGAGAAAGTCCAGTATTATGGCTCTTTTTTATAATATTCAGTGTTGCAAATTTAGTCATTCATTACCAAAAACATAACCTCAAAATGTGCTTGGGACAGCATATTCTTGGTTGGCATTGCTTAGAATTACACCACAGTATATTGCCTTGCTTCTGACTGTAAAGCATCTTGT